TAGGCCAGTCGAGCGAGCCATGCGTAAGCCTGGGGGTCATTGTGCCCATCACGGGCTGCTGCCAGGGCCGCATGGGCAACCAGGCGTACTTGACGCCAGGCCGCCGCAAGGCGCCCATTAATAAATGATGTAACCCATCGGAGCAAGAATGGTCCTACAAGTAAGAGCAGAAGCAAGGAGCACAGGGGACCTAACAATGGTAAAACATAGGGGAGCAAGCCATTCCAGGCTCCCCAAAAAGGGATTGTCCTGCAGTTCTTTTAGGGCTCATCTTGTTGTTGGGTCTGCGGTTGGCCTCTGGTGGAACAGGCCTGATCTTTAGTCGAGGGACTTGTCGCGTCAACCTCTCTGGGACCCACAGTGGTTTTCGTCCCGGTTCCTGCGGAAAAACACAAACCGCGCCTCGGTTCCAGCTAACCACCGGATCCGGGCCCATCCATTGTCATGCCATAGATAACCGCGCCTTTGGAGGCAGGCCTTGGCTTACTCCCCCTTTTTATTTTTTATTTTTTTTTTTTTATTTTTGGTCTTTTTCGTTTTTTTTTTTTTGTTTTTTTTTTTTTTTATCGGTACCAGGGATCGAACTCGCGATTGCCTGCTTACAAGGCAGGCGCTTATGCCGCTGAGCTAAATCCCCAGCCCCTGTTTCCTCGACCGGCGTTTTTCTCAGCCTGCTCGGCAGAGTAGCCGCCCATGAAAATACCGTCCGCCCCGCAGCGCAACGTCATAGGACGGCGGTCGCGACAGAGTGGAACGGGGCGTCACTTCCTGTGCCGGCTGAGAGAAGGGAGGGTTCCCTGTAGCGGCCTCTCGGCGGGGAGCCGCTTCTGGAGAAGAGCTCCAGGGCGGAGCGGATGGCTCTTTATCTCCTCCCCTCCAGAGAGCGCTCGGGGGCCCTTTTTCCTCTCTCTGCTTTTTTCGAGCGGCGCACGCACACAATTCGCGGCGCAACTCGGCATAGGAGTCAAGGCACGCATGTATCATTTCCCACAGGGGGCGAATAGCCGGCGAAATATCGCCTCCCAATTCCGCCGAGGCGAGGTCCCCGCCTAACTTCTCCCATGACGGCAGGTTTAAATGCCCTGTGGGTAAAAACCAGGGAGCCACCCTATCTATCTCTGCTATGAATAGTTCTAGTGTTTTTTGACCTACCCTGAGGTCTCTAGCTTTTAAAAGCTTCCTAAGGGCCTTTACCAAGGGCCGCGCCTCCGCGCTCGGTAAATTACCCATCTCTAACCTCTAATGGCTGTAACTCACCGCGTGTGACTTAAAGAACCCGTCACCTACGCGTGAGCCTGAGGGGAGTCTAAAAGCCCTGTAGGTGCGCGCCACCCAGAGCCCAGGCTTATCCCCAACTCACCTGTCCGGCAGCACCACGCTGGAGCGTTGCACACCACCGCCGTGTCTCGGGGTTGATCAGTCCCCGTACGGGCCACCAAATGTCGGGGTCGCTCCCGGCCGGCAGGAAAGACACACGACAAAGTCTGGCGGTGTGCAACCTTGCCTTTATTTGTCTCCGCGTGGGCCCCGCGAGGCCTCCTCTCTGCCACCAGCCCTTTCTCGCCGGTGGACTTTCTCTATCTCTCTCTGTGCTTCCTCTGTGCTTCCTGTCTCGTGGCGGGAGAGGCATTCACTTTTATAGGGTGACAGTGGCCAATCAGTTCAAAGCGCGCGATGCGGGCTGATTGGCTAACATCAGTTGTTGCTAGGCAGACTATCTTACAGAGCGGGTTGTTTAAGTCGCCAGCGCAATCAGGGGGCAGGAAGCAGGCGCCAACTTGACTCACTCGATGGGAGGGGCAATCTAGCTCAGGCTCCGCTCCCACCCACAGGCCCTACGTCCGCCAAGTAAGGCGACCGGTGTCGGCGGCTCCCAACAGTTTCAGAATAATAATGACAAACTCAGAGAAATAGGCTCCAAGTTCTGACTTTTAATTAAGTTATTACAGCTGTCTCTAACTACATTCTATACTTAATGGAAATAGAAGCTGTAAGAATGTGGAAAAGTACAATCATTTTCAGAGGAAGTTCTATATAGTTTAGAAGAAAGACTTTTACATCAAAATAACAAATCAACTGTAATGAAAAGGATTATCTACTTAGTCAAAAGTTGGGAGAAAATTCCTCCACATGAGAAATGATTTGAGGTTCTAAGGAAAACTCTGGAGAGAAAAATAAAAAGCTAATGAAAAAAGGGAACAAGTAACTCAAAAGGAGATACAGAAGAGCAGTAGTGATGTGATAGAAATTTGGAGAAAATAAAAATACCTAATATGGAAAGGTTTTGTGATACATGCTGAGTGTTGACTCCTGTCTCTTCTGCTGGATCCTCACTTAACTCTTTTGTACAGGATTTTATTTGAGCAGATTTGAAATAAGGAGACATGAAAATGCCCTCATTCAGGTCTGCAAAGAGGATGGAATCCACATCTCCTTCCCATAAATAAAAAAATGAGGGTTCAGATGTAGGAACCAGCCTAAGAGCTTTGTACCTGCCCAAAGGATGATAAGATGAAAAACAAATAGTTAGAATTCGGTTAAAATGTGGTTTCCAGGGTCTCTTGGTTTCTTTCAACAAAGAGCCCTGGGAGACTGGCACACTCTGCCTGCATCCCTCAGGCATGGGCACAAGCAATCAGAGTAACGCAGATCCTCTGCTCCCTACCCACGGTACCTGCTCCAGTACACAACAGGACCTCAGCTGTACTCTCTCTCCCTGAAGTGTGTCAACACGTACTCATGCCACCTTTCTCCCTGGTGTTCACAGAAGTGGAAAACTGGGCATTCACCTTCCTACCTGGTCTCCCACACTCAGAGTAAAAAGCTTTAATGTGCATTGCAGGAAAATGATAATTTTTCTGATCAATGATTATAAATTTATTTTCTTTTTAGATTTATTAAACCTTATTGTCTCATTCCTTTGGGAACATTTAAAGTTTGCATTGAGTATCCAAATAGCCAAAAAGCTATGCTACTTAATGCTGGATTTGTTACTAAGAATTGTGGTAGTAGTCTGATGTTTATATATATTCATGTATAGAAGGGGAGTGTACAATCATGTAGAAAGTTTGGATGAGAAATTAGGAGGAACACTATTTATGTATATGGCACCAAACTGGGTTAATAATATCTTGGATTTCATGTCTAGTTTTAAGGCCTGAAGAAATTTATATCCCATAATAATACATATTTTTGTCTTGGACTTCAAAGATCCATGAAACACATTATCACTTTATATAGCACTTTTAATCACAAATTTTTATAGGACAAATTTTCATTTATGAATATCATAGTCATATAAAAAGTTATATTTCAACCATACCAATGCAAATTAGGACAAGATAACTTTCCTTTTACTATATATTTCTAGATAACTAATTCCTTTTCATAACTAAAATTACTGAATGTAAATATGATCTATCACTTTACAAAGCATAGATTTTGTAGATAGCAATATTATTAATCAACTAGTCTATACTCCAGATACAATAAACATATAAATTGTATTTTTTTAAAATCACATTTAAAAATTTTGGTTGACCTTTCTGTAAGTATATACCAGGAAATCAAATGCAGCTTCAGAATTGATGATTTTCTATTAAGAAACGAAAATAGTTTTATACGTTAACTACCCATATACTTTGTAATTATAGAGTGCATTCAGTTGTAAGTAGTTAAGGAAAATAGCATGCTAAACCCTAGTGGCAAGCTAATTATTTTCTGCAGAGTAAGAGCATACAACAAGGATACTGTTTTTTATTGAGCACCCAGCAGTTCATTAAGAACCCTGCTATGTTGTTTTTGTACGTATTTTATTTAATATTCAACCCTCGATATTAATTATTCTCATTTTACAGATGAGATCATTGAAATTCAGAGTTACAGAGTAACTTGCCAAGCATCACAAGGTAATGGAACCGGAGCTCTGAATCAAACCTACCTCAAAAAACAAAATCAACACTGCCAATAAGCTGTATTCATGAGGTGGGAGCTCAGTGTGTTTCAAAATCACTTAGAATAATATTACTACGTTTCTCATAACAAGGCATAGCTTAGACTGGAGCACTGCAAAGGGAAACTAGAAAGTTTTGATCAGTTTAAATGCAGAAGAATATAAAACAGAGATAGGAAAACTTCCTTTTATTGCAAATTAATGTTGAAAATAACGCGCTGCACAATTCAGTGTTTGCTGGCATATTTAACAATCTAATTTCATTGACATGTTTTTGTCTTTTAATTCTTCAAAATGTTGATTTTTATTTAAACAAATTTACTTAGGAATTTTCCCAAAAACTTGTCTCAAAAGCTAAACAACTATTGCTTTATAGTGTTGATATAATTTAAAACAAAATTAACCTTTTGTTAAAGACACAAGCTTAAGTTAAAAGATGCTTTTGAAATTAGTATACCCAGCTGTGTTTCTGACTCTGTGCTATCAAGATACTCTTTTTGCCTGCATATATCCAGTCCAGAATGTCTTTTGCTTTGTCTTTCTTCCCTTCAGTTAAGAATTCGACTAAAAGTGTGACTAAACTGTGAATTAATAATACAAGCCAAGTATATATTTATGTACGAAAATCTGAGAGAAATAGATGACATGTTTTTTCACAGATTATCTGGATTAACTTTTAGGAGGTTTTGGGGTTTTTTGTTTTTGTTTTTACTTTACAGAGAAGGAGAAGAACAGAAACAGAAGAGCTTGAGGCTTCTCTTGGGCACTGACCTCACTTCTTTGTGTTTCCTGGGGAAACACTGCTTTGGAAGTGCTCCCCTTTCAGCATCAATAGCTTTTATAATTTGTCAATGAGTATTCTCTTACACTTAACTTGGGGAAAAGAGACAAAGAAGAAATTGCTTCCTGTACTTTCCTTCTTCTAGGGTCTCAGGCAGGAACCAAATGAAAGTCACCTTCTTTAATAACTACTGAAACTTCAAGATGAATAAAAATTTAATAAAGAAAATAATTCATAAATAATTTTCAATTCACTTGAGAAAGATAGTGCTTGCTTCTGAAGCACATTACTGAAATTGGGATAATACAGAGAAGACTGGCATGACCTCTGCACAAGGATGACATTTAGGAAAGATATTAAAGATTATTTTGGACTTATAAATAGCATTCTTCAAAAAATTTTTGAATTTCCTTAATGTCATCTCAAAATAAAATACAATATAATCTTTAAAGATAGCTTGCGAAAATATAAAGATGGACTAGAAAATACATTTCTTAATGCTCTCAAAGAAGATATCAATAAATAGAATGGATCATAGAACATTTTCAACTAAATGGAAGTTAATTTGAAATATGTCTGAAAATCAATTACAAACAAAAAATATTATTGAAGTTTTGTGGAGGCTGATTTTATCTTCAGAAAAATGCATCAGGTTTTAGAGTTTCAGTTTATGTTATTTTACTACTAGTATATTAAGATATTTAAGAAAAGAAAAAAGATAAATGTAGACAAGGGAAAGTGAAAGAATACAATTTATAAAAGAAATTATCCTGCGTGGTCTTGTACTGCCAAATGTGTTTCTGTCTCATTTCAAGGAAGCTGAGGGCAAATGGGGCAGTGTTGAAAAGCTGAGATGTATGAGGCACTGAATCACGTAAGGAGGAGTTGGAGGAATTGGGCTTATATCCTGGAGAAGTGAGTTGAGCAAATCCTCAGGAAAGGAGAGTAGCTCTCTGCAGGTGTGTTGGTCAGATTTCCCTTTGCTGGGCTTTTACCTGACAACAGCAACTTAAAGAGCAGAGGTTTCATTGACTCCTGACTTCAGAGGTTTCAGTGCATGGTAATCCAGCTCTAAGGCAGGAACCTTTTGGTGTAAGGACAAACTGTTCACTTCATGGCAATCGGGGAACAGAGCAGATAGAAGACGGCACCCAAGAGAAAAGTACCAAGGACAAGATCACGTCTCCAAGACCATGAGCCTATGGTCCACCACTAACCTACAAGTGTGCTTTACTAATCCCCTTGGCAGCTCTCAAACCATATAAGTTGACAATCCAGTTTAACTTTCACACAAAAAATGTTAGAAACATCATCATATGAATGTAACATTTGTCCTACCTCATCCCTAAAATTAGAGCTGAGTTCCTTATAAGGAAAGCTGTTTTAAAAGTCAAAACTGTAACATTTTGAGCAAGTAGTCATAAAGTCAGTTCTCTTTTGCTTACAAGTTAAAGGAACATGAAAGAGAGAAAAAAGAAAGAAGGAAGGAAGGAAGGAAGGAAGGAAGGAAGGAAGGAAGGAAGGAAGGAAGAAAGAAAGAAAGAAAGAAAGAAAGAAAGAAAGAAAGAAAGAAAGAAAAAGAAAAAAGAAAGAAAGAAAAGAAAAGAAAGAAAATGAACTGAGAATGTGGTATAATGCTAGAGTGCTTATCTGCCATCAACAAGAGTTCAATCTCTAGCACCAAAAAAATAAAAAGATAAATAGGAAAAATAAAGAGAAACTTCCTAGTCTATATAATTGAGAAGCCCAACAGTGGAACTAGTTTAAGCATAATGAAGTAAATTCTTGCCATTGTACAACTCCATGTCTGAGCTTTGATCTATTTTGTGTTTGGTTCTTACCCAGGAGGTCTCTGATTTGTGATGTCAAGAGGGCCAGTGGAAGCCCAAAGCTTATCAGAATTTGAAATTATGAAGGAAAGAAAGCAGCCTTCTCTTTCTATCTTATATTTGTGAGCGTAATGGAGAACCAGGTTTGTTTTTGCAGTGGTTATTTTTGGAACCAGTTACCACCAACAGGGGCATAGATCCAGTGAGAGACCCACCCTAGGCCAATGATAGTGAGCTGTTTAGTTTCCAGTGATAATGGACAGCTAGCCACACAACCTCCACTGCCTTAGGCCATCTGTCAATCCCTAAAAGCCCAGCAACAACACTTTTATCAGCACAGTTGGAAAAGAAGGTCCTAAGGAGCTGCAAAGATAAAAACACGATTTAATCAGAAACCACAACTCCTTAGAAGGCAGTGAATTTATCATCACTGAATATATTTAAGCAGAAATTTAATAACAATTTGTCAGCGATAATGGTCCACATTACCCCTTATGCACTGTAAAATTTTGAAACAGACTCTCTTTGTTTACTGATTAAGTCAACAGATAAAACTGAGCACTTACAACATAAAGAACACTCAAATGTTAAGATGCACAAGACAGTCATGCTCCCTCCTGAGCAAGCACGGAAAATCCATGATCTCTAATCTATAAAAAGACTTTCTTTGTCACACAGTGTGAGTGTAAGAAGAGACAAGTGTACAAACTGATCATTATAAAACAATGGACAATTGCAAACTTTTAGAGATAATAATTAAAATTGTGAATATCTGGGCAAGGATAGGCAAGAACAAATTAAAAACAAATATCATTTCTAAAGGAACTTTATGTATACATATCATACACAGCCTGCCTAGCTCCACTGTATGGATAGGATGTAATCCCAGATGAATTGTTTTTTACAGGAAAGATCATCAAAGGAGAAGAGTCCAAGGTTGACTTCTCAGTCCATAAAGGGCAAGTAAATCTAGAAATATAATCCCCTGGCCAGAAATGCCATGTTACTTCCTACAGGCAAGAATCTGGGTGACGACTATACTGGGGTTGATCCCAGAGATCCATGAGTGAGCTTAAAGCAAGGCAGTTTCTCAAGCATGAGGTCCACTGGCCTTCCAAATGCAAGATGGAAGGACTTGAAACCACCTTGCAATGGGTGGGCAACCCCATCACCAGGGACTTGGCTTAGTGGGCTGGAGATAGCAATGTGTTACCCAGAAATTGTCTCCAGTGCCCAAGTCCAGCACCCAGCCCACTTATGATGTAAATTAAGCCATGTATACTACATATTCTAACCACCTTTCTTTGGGGAATCCTATTTTAAGTCAGAATAGGTCACTTTCATCTAATTTTCAGCTTCACTTCTTTCTAAGTCTTAGTTTCCCAAGAAAATAAAAGTGAGTATGAACTTACTTATAAACAATAAATGAAAAAAATTTAAGACTAAAATAATGGAACAGTGCTTCCCTAATTCTTAAAGATGTCCAGGTACCATTTTATTGCCATAAACGAGTATCAATTTTCCCACTGAAATCCATGTATTCCATGAAAACAATTTAAGATTTAAGCCTTTACAGTGAATTCATGGAACTCAAATATAACTGATTCACTCTGAATGAACAAAAAATAAGAGGTCAGTTAATATTTTTCTTCCCTTACTTTTGTGGGATATAGAGAATATTAGGTAATGTGAAAAATCAAAAGTTTTGCTTATCACTCTCTGAAATCCATACGCACATACAGCCTTTCTTAGACTGATGTAGTGTAGTAAGATCCTCTGATGTATAATAGATAAGAAGTAACACAATTAGGAGAAACTTAAATCAGAAAGTATCTTCCACAGCCCAATCTCTAAACAGCAAACAGGAAAGTCTCTTTGGACTAGAATTCGATTTGCCCTGAAGTGGAGAATTTAACTCTTCAAGTCATGATTATATAAAGAGCAAGTTTCCTCTAACACCAAAACATAGCTTCATCTTAAGAATAAACAAAATAATCCAAAGACATTTCATACCATCCAAGGGAGGAAAAGGATGTGTAGAAACCCTGCCCGCCTAACTGAAGACATGAGGCCAGAATCAGTCACCAAAATCATTGCTTTAAAGGGGACATTTTAATTAAATGAAGAAATCCATTCACATGTAAAGACCGATGCTTTTGATTGAAATAACAATGAAATAATGAAGTCTTATTTTTCCATGTCTTTGAAGTATTTTTCAGATATGGAGTGTTTTCCATGAATGCTATTTATCATTAGAGGGGGAGGTGTGTGTGTGTGTGTGTGTGTGTGTGTGTGTGTGTGTGTGTGTGTGAAAATTTCCAAGAATTATTGGAAATTATTGCATGCTCCAGTTGCTGTCAGTCAGCCTAGGGTTGTTTTGCTCATTTCAGATGAAAACTGTGAGTGGGCCAAGTGCAAATCATTCTGGATGCCAAGAGCTAACACAGTCAGCTGGTCTCTGCCACCATGTCATGCCAGCTTGTGCTGGACACTGTAGGTTGACACTTCTGGGTGCTGGTCTCGGTCACTGATCTTCATTGGCTCCTCGTCTCTGGAGCTCCTCACTGCTCAGTGTTCTCAGTGTTTACCTCTCACTGTTTACTTCTATTTCTTTTGAAATCACTGCTCTGTCTACATCACTCACAAGAATCTCAAGTAGATTCGCAGAACTTTTGGAATCCAAGAATTAAATCACAAGCAGGTTTATAGAACACCAAGCAAATCTTTACTATAAAAGGGTTCGTGATGTGCACAGGAGTGGGGAAATTGGTACACTGGAGGAAGCTCTCCTGCACTAATAGGGAGGTGCTGCCCATAGATGAGTCGGGGACAGAGCTGAAAATAGGGACTCTTCTGCAAGGCTAGCTGTGGGGATAGGGGATGTTAACAATAGACCCAGATCCCTCCCCGTGATCTCAACCAGGCCAGAGCATCTCTTCCCTTCTTCAAAAAGGCACCCATAGCCTACAAAGTGGCAGAAGCAGGATATGGGCACTGCGCTGATAGTTAAGCTGCACCCATTACAGTGAAATGGAGTGAAGGAGAGTGACCATGACATCGCCAGGGAGGACAGTGAAGCCAGTTGCCCTAGTTTGGGGCTGAGGGAGAGCAAAGGGAAGCAGGAGAGCAGAAAGACAGGCACTGACCAAGCCTCACCAACCCCAGCTGGAGGTGGGGGCGGGCACTTCTCTGTTCCACAGTTATTTGATAATGAGAAGACTAAGTACAAGTCACTTTTTATAGGAAATGACTGTATTGTGAAGGGTCTGCTTTTGTGTACTGTCATATGCATTTTTTTTCTGTTGGGAAGGATGTATGGCTAAGAATACATGCGTTGTGAATGTGTGTGCTTGCCCACATGAGTATTTACCTCTCATTCTTTCTTAGGGACAGGACAATAGTGCCACCTCAAAAAAGGGTCAGTTGATTTTCCATTAACTTTCATTGTTCAAATATTTCCATTCATAAATGACCCTGCTTTAGTTTGACAGATACTCTACTCATGGCTATGTTCTCCTGACACAGCACACACAGATCAAAT